ACAACAAAAAAGACCAGACAACAACAAAAAATAAACACTCTTACCGCAACATGAGTAGAGTGCAGGGATGCCACGAATGGGTTATCCACATTCCTGGGTTGCTGCTATGGAACTTGAATTAAGTAACCGCAATGGGTATATATATAGCAATTAATACGGCTTCCCCAATATAATAGCGTAAGCTAAAGTTCCTTAACAGCGGCCCAGATTCCTGTCTCCCACTTCGGCCACCGTCATCTACACGTGGGCTTGCTTGTTGTGGTCTTTCAGATATTTCTGGTTCTCTTTATTTCGTCCGCCTCAGGGAACAGGGACTCTAGATTCTAAACAGAACCCTAAGCCCTAAAACCCCTATCCCCAGGACTTAATCCCCTCTAATGTTGATATGATGCCGAGGTCATCTGCTGTGGCGCCAGTGCAGGTGCAGATTGAGTGGGATGTTAAACAAGGATACTACTCCCCTCCCCCCAATATTAGACCGTCCCACCCCCTAGTAGTAAATACTCCTCATAGTGGTCTATTATGGTAGATTGGGCATAAGTACACCTAGGGGAGAGGCTGGGGTGGGGGAGTTTGATATTAGGGGGAGGGGATACGGACATGTAGGGTTTAGGGTTTAGGATCTCGCGTAATCGACACAACATTGTCCTTTCGCTTCACCAAGATTTTTAAGATAATGTCATCTTACACTTAACTTGACCCAAGCACAAGGGAATCAGTTTTCCATTGTAGACCGGAGTCCGGCTATGTGAAGCAGAAACCGGCAAGCACAGCATTCTAATTTTATGGCTTAGTCCTACTTCCTTAGGAGTTTCGAGGATTCTAAAGATCAGGCTTCTTGGAACTTGGACCACCCTTATAGTAGTTTCTATTTCTTTTCCACTATCCCCTATATAACCCCGTTATAGTAGTTTCCATTTTCTTTTCCACTATCCCCTATATAACCCCATTATAGAAGTTTCCATTTTCTTTTCCATTATCCTCTATATAACCCCCAAACCCTAAACCCTAAACCCCAAACCCTAACCCCTAAACCCTATGGTTTGATGAAACAGAATGGACGGCGCTCCTCCGTGCAAGGCATCAGAGCTGAAGTCTCTTGCAAGCAGTTGAAGGATTTGTCAATATGGGGGTTTCCCGAAATTAGGGGTACCTTTTTGGGGGTCCCCATAATAGGGACTATAGTATTTTGGGGTCCCCTTATTTTGGGAAACTACCCTTTGTTCTATGCCTATACGTTAGGTGGACCCCAACCCAGTAATAGTGATTATGACGAATCCTAAGGATTCTACCTGGTACTCTAATATTCCAATTATACCGCTGTTGCAGGGCTGGGGTCCTCCTAACTTATACATTTTATTCTATTTTCTTTGTACTGTCTCCACGATGCGTTTTTCAAAAAGTAGAGTTGAGGGGTGAATCTCTACGTGTCCCCTGTGTATTCATTTTTTGTAAGCTCGATACTCTCGTGCTGGGACAGAGCCCAATTCCCTAAACCTTAAACCTCAAACCCTGAACCCCAAATCCTAATCCCTAAGCCCTAAACCCTAAATCCTAAATCCTAAACCCTAAACCCTTTCGCCCCAAACCCTAAACCGCGATTTGGTGGATGGAAGGCGTCCTCGCCAGTGCTGTCTACGCCTAAGATGCCGCATCGATGTGAGCTGCCGCATTCCGCGCGGAGCTTGGGATGACAAAATATAGGGTTTAGGGTTTAGGGTTTTTACCCCTAATAACGGAGAATCAAATGGAAAAGAAAATGGAAAATGAAATGGAAACTACTATATTGGGGTTATATAGAATTTAGGGTTTAGGGTTTAGGGGTTAGGGTATGGGTTTTGGAGCTTAGGGTTTAGGGTTTAGGGGTTTGGGCCATGTAGGGGTTTTGCAGGGATCATACACGGATTTTGTAGGGTTGATATACGGGTTATTTACAGGGTCTTGAGTCCAACGTAAATACCAATAGTGGAGAATAAGTAGGCTGGGAACTGGGGCTTTAGAAGGAGTAAAGGACTGGCACTTCTGCTAGGATTAGATGTAAGCCCCTCATTAAGGTTTTTCGCCTTGGGTGTTGGGTTGGACATAGTTGGATTTTGGTTCTTGTCCCCTTTGCGGGTAGCTTTGAGCATCCAGAGTAATCCATCGTGTGGCTGTAAATACTTTTTAGGCCTGAGTGTGCCACATTTGGAAAATGGTAAGATATTCTAGCTTCCCTTGTTGCTGCTCTTCATGATCATGACTCCATGGAGGGGGATTTGAGGGGAACCCTTCCTCTCCAGAATAGTACACCCCCCCAATTTCCCCGCAAGTAAGTATGGACCTCAGTACAGATCAGGGGAAGATTCTGAATTTGGGGGGTTGTATTCCCCTACACCCTAAGCCCTGCATCCTAAGCCCCATGAGTTGAACGCAGACGTAATAGTCCGTAGGGCTTCAAAAAGAAGAGGCCCAAACCCAAAACCTGTTTCCTCCACACCTTTACAACGCTTCCCAGCCGGCACGCCATCCCATTACCGAGGCAACTCGCAAGCCCGCATGGTGCCCTGCCCAGCTATCACCGCCAATAGTAGTAGTTTTGCTGTTAGTATCATTATGACTATTACTATTACTGTTACCCATTGCTATTACCATTACTATTTCTATTACGTACTGTTACTATTACTATCTGAATTCAAAAACCTATCGACTTCCTGATGCAAGGACATATTCATATGCTAATCTAATCATGTAGTCATGTACCACATACATGTACTAGTCCTACTGAGCATTATCAACGTGTTCGTCCATAGTCACCACTGTTGTTTTTGGTACATCAAACTCTAAACCCTAAACCTCTGCTCTATGCGCCCAATGCAGTCTCCATGGCCAGAAGGTGGTGTGAAATCTGACTCGAAGCATCTATGCATATTGGGGGGTTCCAGAAAGGGTCCCTTTTTGGGGCACTTTTTTTAACAAGGATTATAGCATTTTGTTTCCATATAGGGGTCCCCGTATGTTAGGAAACTACCATATTGGGGTTTCCAGAATATGGGGGCTTGTTTGTTTAGTTTAGTAGCCCTCACAGTAAGTTATGTGTATAGCATCCACTATTCATGAAAACTACTCTGTGTGTGTTGCCACCAAGGCCGACGCAAGCGAGTGGCTATCAGGCTTACAGGGGTTTTAGGGTTTAGGGGTTTACGGGTTTTAAGGTTTAGGGGTTTTAGGGGTTTTAAGGGTTTT